TCAATGAAATCATTGTATCAACAAACTACAATTATCAACCACAGCTACAGCGTTAGTTATTCCACCGTCAGGGAGGATTGCAAAAAAGAGCACCTACTATTTCATTACCTGCTTTGTTATCGCTGTCACTATCAGCTTTTCACATTGGTTAAGCAGCGCGCTGGAATAATGGGTGTCCCATTAATTTCACAGTCAATTCCAGATGCAGAATCCTGCTCTCCTCCTCCCAGTGTTATTTCCCTCAGGACGTCACATGAAGGGTTCTGAAAGAAGGGAACAACTCAAGGTCAGAGCGAAACTGTAAATGCTGGAAGGCCAAGCTCTGTACTTTATTATGACCATCATGTAATTGCATTGCAATTATTACCGGAATGATTCACTGATGGACGGGTTGTGCAAAAAAGAAGAAGACATATCAATCTAAGGCTTGATCTCACAGGGTTTTGCAATGAAACTGCATATTAAATGTACAGATAATTAAAGCAGACACCTTTGTGTTCAGCAGCACAGTGTGGTACCATCAGTACGAGCTTAACCCAATAAACATTTTTGGTATGGAAAAGCCTCCTTCCCCCAACTCTTGACTAATCACTCAACTCTATGCTTCAGCTGCCTTTTGCCTCCAAACACATTAGTGAAGATGATGATGATGACTGACATGAACTTTTACATTTCGCCCTAATTAACGAGCCACACATGCCCCCCCCCCCCGACATTTACTATAGGATTAGGGTTGACACATGCCCATCAGTCACTCACCTCTCCTTTTTTCCCCTCCTTCCCCTAGCACTCAACCCTCCCCCCTTTGCCTCCAGACTCAGACAGACAAGCCTGTTGCCACCAGTGTCACAGCCAGCCGCCATCAGTCTCATTGTCTCTTGTCCCCTTTTTTTCACTGCAGAACGAAAGTCAGGGCAGAGAAATCCAGCTCATGCAAGACTGCAATCAGCACTTCTCAATACTGGAAAATATTGTTATTCAATCAGTTGTTAACAATTGTTATTACCTAATTAATTCAGTCAACAGGTTGACCAAGTATCGATCTGGCAAGTCAATATTCAGCATTTTTATGATTATTGGAATCCTTGCTTTGTGAGATCATCAAGAAAGTTTCTAAGAGAAGGAGAGGGCAATAAGTGGTAGTCTAAGTTTAAATGAACAGCAAGTAATGAGCTTCTGTAATGAAAAAAGTAGGTTAATTAACGGCACAGACAGAGCAGCGATGTCACACAGAAAAACACCGGCAACAGGAAATGAGACAATACGCTTACTGCAGCGCCCCAAGGATGTAAATCGTCACTCACTTCTGTTAGTAAACTGATATCTTCAGTCCAGTAG